TGGGCCTGTAAAAGAGTGAAATAGGTAAACCAGAAAGATATGAGGCCCGAGTCTGATCGACAAATAGTGAAGGAGAGGAATGGCAAGACAAGCAACAGACGTGATGAGGTCATACTAAACTAGCCTCTTCAGGAGTGGGCAGGTCAGATGTTGTGATGACCGGGAAATGAGATAAGAGAGTAGGATGTAGGGAAATGTGTCAGAACAGGAAAAGTAATGATAGCAGAACCTTTTGGTAGAAATCTAGTCAAGAGATTGACTTCACTTGTCTCTTATACGAGTTTTAATCTGTCGCGGAGTCTGGAAAAAATCAGCGATGATGCCTGCGAATTGTCTTGGAATTTACTAAGTCTACTCTGCGAATCATGATCACTATTATATTTCAGAGGTCTTCATAAAAGGTGCGTCAAACTTGTTCACCTGGAAAACATGACTAGGGTGCATAAGCGAATTCAAACCACTTATTTACCTCTAAAGGAGATGCCGACCAATATAGAGACCACAAAATCTTGGTCTCTATCTATCGATTAATTAATATTTGTCTTAATTCTTTTGCTATTTTTAATACTTAATAATTATGATATTTAATACTTTGCCAAATAATATATACTTTTCACTTAATTTATTATCATGTTAATTCCAACTATCTTAACTAATTCCAAATAAATAATTGTTTTAAGTATTATATTGTTGCTAATTAAATTATTACTTTAATGGCAGATCTAATGGATTTGGATATTTGAGTTTAAATGGTCTAGTATATATTTGTGTTAATATTTACGATAAAGACTTTTCTGGACCTTGTATACCAGAATATAACAATCGATATTTTCTGAGCCAAAGTTCCTAGTTTATCAACATTTTCAGTCTACTACATTCCTCTGTACACCCTACTATTTATGCATTTACCCCCAAAAGCATGCTCAAACACACCAAATGGTAACCACAGGAAGTTTCTGGTATATAAATCTATAAATCTTTACAATATAAAAAATCTAACCTAGTTTCTCAAGTATTTTATCCATTGGATTTCTACTATTGGAAAACTTTGTTTTTATAAAAGTAAAGGGGTTAATGTGCCTTTGAATCACTGCCCTAATAGCCTTGTTTTTTATCATTCGACAAAACTTGTATTAGATAAGAGATATGAATAGTAAATTCTTTTAGCATATTCTGTTATAAATCCCTGGAATTTTTCTATCTATCGCTTTCTTTTGCCTCTGCTCTTAATGTGACGGAAAAAAGTTTGATGATGTTATTTACTTTTTTGGCTTTATCGGCACACAAGATTAAACTGCAAAATAAAATTTGGGTGAAATTCTTCATAGGCATGACTAATTTAATCATTTCTCCTGGTGTAAGTCGAATTCCTACGAATTACCACGATGAAAATTATAACAAACATAATATATTGCTTAAGCTACGTTTATATCCCTAATCTACCAGATTAGAGACTAATCACGCAGTTTAGAATGGGATCTCATTTTTCGTAAATAGATAAATATATATTTTTACCCATGAAGGACATTTTAGAAAAATGATAAATCGGAAATTACCTTGAGATATTTCGATGATTTCATGAGGAATCGTAGCATCAAGAGCTCTGAACTTCATGCATTGATATAAAGCAAGGCTGAGGGTAGAATTAATAGAAATTAAAAGGTTGATTAAATGACACAATGAACCAGAATCTCATATAACTATTTTTAGCAAATGCTATATAATTGCATTATATGTTTGGTAGATAGATCATGTAGATTCCTCTATTGCCAAGCCCCATCGAATGTATTGGAATACTAAAAATTCTGTTGGCACAAATATTACTTTTAAAAATGGTAGCTCTTCAAAATTGGCATTTACAATTTATTGGATCAAGAAGTAGTCTAAATTCCTCATTACTTATTTAAATAAATCAATCCAAATGAATGTTAATCGCGTATTCTTGGCTGAATAGCGTTATGCAATTACTTATCAATGGAATTTATAAAATCTATTAATTCTTTTTGGCCTCCCAGAAAGGAATATTTAAGAATTTAAATTTTAGTGCAATGAATTTTGATTTAATAGGATGTAGTACCGTGATTTATATAGTATTAAGTTGAGTTAAATGCTGTTACAGTCTTATAATGGTAACTAAGAGGCAACATGGGATGTTTAATTAACTATAAAGATGGCAGTGGACGTGAATCGATTAGTTTTTGTTTTATGTATATACTGTGAGATCGAATAGAATAAATGATTTTTCAGCAAAGGTTTACATTATTTAAAAGTATCTTAATGAAATATTTCTTTACGTAAAACCAACTATATTAAGTTGAATATTAGTTAATTTTATTGGGGACTATTAGTCCGGCTAGATTTATTTTCTATATTTTAGTTACTCTTTTTGCACTACCACTATTTATATCGGTGGCCCTTTTGTCCCTATATGAGAAGATTTTACACATTCGTAAATAAATGTGTTTTAAATGGACCTGTCCTAATTATTAAAACCTTAGGTGAATAAGCCTAGAAAGCTTTGACACTAATTCTTGCCGAACTTATTTTCTGACAAATTAAGGATTAGGATACTAAATAATATCAGCATAATTAGGTCATAAGCTATACAGTGTATGATTTGAATCTTGATTGCCATTTAAATAGTTTAGCATTCGCGACTTAAAAAGCTTGATGCTAATTTGCATAAATGACAGACTTTAATACATATTCAAATGATAACTTTAAGTTTTACATATTTGTTGCTTCTTAAATAAAGTCATATAGACCAAGGGCTAAAAATAATTTTAACGCCTTCTACAAGATGTTAGTTATGGTGGTTTAACAAGATTTATAAGCCAAATTATTTCTTACGATTGTCGACTATAAAAGCTTAAATATGAGCTATTCGCTTTTCAGCATATATATGCAAATAAAAAATCTATTTAGGATGTATAGAACAAAAAAACTATATAATGTACCAATTAACTTATATCATCTTTATTAATTCAATTATACCAGAAAAAGAACTTTAAACTTCCATTATAAACTCGTAGTCTATGCATGCCAACATACTTAATGTCCTTAATTGAAGCTCTGATCACGAATACGTTTTCTTGCTCTCCTGATTTTTGTGGCCTTTTCATCTCCTGCACACATTCTAGTAAGACATCTATGTGTTTTAGTTCATCGAGTGTATTCAAAACTCCAGGGTGACGACAGATTTCATCCAAAGCATGCTGAAGGCTGACCAGGAAGAGAGGCCTAGCCGATGAGCCTGATGAAACCAAAGAATCATAATTCGACTCGCTTGGCCATTTATTATCAGGAGATTTACCTTCGTATGCAGCATTACTTTTCCGAACTTTTTGTCGAGGGCAAGTGAACATTTGACGCAGCTGGAGACTTAATAAGTTGTCAGCCACCATTAATTGATGCCAGGGTCTGCGATAGAATAGAGAGGGTGATTCCCAGCCAGTCACTCCTGGGCCGATTAGAGGTGTGGGCTCACCATAATAGCCGGCTACTGCAGACGACTCCATGGAAGGGATATTTGAAGATGACAATTCGGATGGTGCCGATAATAACGGTGATGAAGAGGCGGCAGAAATTGCAGGAATAGAAAAAATTCTTCCCTTGTAGGTATTGCTTTGAGATTGGGCAGAAAATTCATTGGAGCTGGAAAAGGGGTTAGAGGACTTGGAAAGGCTTAACTGTCTTGATCCCTGGTGCCAGTGCTTCCAGGTCTCCGAAGTGCCAGTTTCATGGCTGGCTGAATCAAAAGGACCAATGTCTGACCACCAGATACGCGTTGATTGAGTTAGTAGCATCTTTGGGAAAATGCATCCGGTCTCAAGGGCTAGTACCGAATAGAGGACACCTCCATTGAGGCAGATAAGGCCTTAAATAAAATGAAGAGTAAATCAGCAAAGAACTTATCTCGTGCCTCAAATAGTTGGTGGTTTCAATATGAATTTTGACAGAATATCTTATTGATTTAGACTTATATGGTTGGGGATCTCAATCTTACCTTCCATTAAATGAAGAAAGCGTGTCTATTTGCATATCAATTCCCAACCAGAGTTTTTATGTGACCTCAAATCCTCATCGGGAATTTATCCAGGGAGGTCTTAGTGCTAAATTAAGCAAATTATCTCGCAGACAGTACTACTTAAGTCACTTTTAAAAATATTCAGAGCAGCATTTTGAGGATAAAACATACGATCTAATTTCATAGCCTTGATGCAGAAAATAATGAAATATAGCTATATTCATGTAGAAAACTCCATATAGTCTCAAATAATAGCATTTTTGGCAAAATAAAGCCTAAAATAGGCTTACATTTTAAAAAAATATGTGCACAGATATATAAGTATGATCGTAGCAAATATTGGTATATTTATGTATTTTTAATATTATTAAGCCAGACCAAAAGTGGATTAGTCCAATTAGCAAGATCATCATAAGTCAGAATAGTAATCTTATTAAATATTTTACCTTAAAATACCTAAAAATTCTCACGAGGCATTTCTTGCTAAATCTGGTTTATTAATTAGAAAGTGCAATCAGTATAAATAGCTTTTAGTAATTTTCATCCTCAAAGGGACTTAATGTATAAAACTAGAATGCTGAGTTTATAGCATCTAAGTCCAATTCTATGCCATAGTCATTCTAGGTTGAATAAATTAATGAAAAACGTATAGTAGAATTTTCCCAAAATAATTTAAGTAGGCTACGTGATAAAGTTGAATTTCACTTAGCCTTGCATCCTAGATGGCATTATCATCCAGGGCAGACTGTGGTTACGAATTCCGTTTCTGATGCGAATTATACTCAGATGGTGCATTGTTTATTTACAATGTTACCGCTAAGCGAAATATCCAGGGTATCATTTAGTTATAAAAAATGCTCTACTTTTATAGCAAAGCTCTTAGTCAAGATCTAAAGATATTATTTAATCTACTAACTAAAAATTTAAGTAACATAGTTGATTGTATTGAAAAATACAAAGTTGGCTCAAACTCACTTATTATAAAGTAGATATAGAAAAAGTCTGACTTACATAGAAATTCATATTTTGCCTGTGATCAACTAGAACCGGTGATGGTGTGGCTTAGCAGTAACATAAAGAAAATAAATATATAAAGGCCCTGATAAAAATCATACGTGGTTAAACTGCAATTCTTCTCTCATAAGAGTAGAATTGATACATTCCCAGTCGTTTCGTCGGTATTGTCAGTGAGTCTTGAAATTACCACCACCAAACTACATTTCATCATAGAAGTGGGTTGACCTCGTTGTCGCAACTTGGTCTTGTTTTCAGGGAGACCATGTAGAACGCACC